CAATATAAAATCATAGAAACCAACATATTGATAAAACAGATTTGTTACCCCAGTTTTTTCTGGATACAGGCTGATTTCAGTGATCCACAGCTTACAAGTCCCACTTTTCGATGTGTCATCACAGCCCCGTACTTGGCTTACATTTAAACATTCCCTGAGCTGGAGCTGAGGTGAATCTAAGCAGCAGCCCCGCTGGGTCTAATAGGATTTGGGAGGACCTTCATGACACCCTGTTTCCTGAGTTGTTTGGAGAAATAGGTCAAGCCCTCTCTTCAGACCCAGTCATCTCCTTGGAGAGAGAGGCTGATTCTGCTGACCAAGTTTCCTGGTCCTTGACCACCTCCCAGGTTAACAAAGGTTTGAGAAAGTGTCCCACGTTCTGTACCAGTAAATCCTAAAAATTTTGGAAGAAAGGAAACTGAGCAGTACCACGGAAAAATCTGCAGGTACATGAGGGTTTCTGATCACCTCCTAGTAGAAGACCTAGAAGTCTTACCAGATAATGGAAAAGGCATGTCTAAAAACTTGTGCTTCCTCTATAACAGGAGATTAATTGAATGAATCATGGCATATCCATACAACAAATACTATATGTGTTGTCAGAGAAGAAAATTGACATGAAAAATGTCCATAGTATACTGCTGGGTGAAGAAGCAGGTTACAAAACTGTACATAGACTACGGTTCCATTTTTGGTTAATAAATTATACATAATAACTGACATTTACTGAGCTTTAAATATAAGTATATATATGAGCAAGGCACTGAATAAAGTGCTTTACATTAATTACTTTATCCTCACGACAACACTATGGTGTAGGTAATAAGGATTATACTTGTCTTTTTACAGATAAGGAAACTAGGCAGGAAAAGGGTAAGTGATTTGCCATAGTTCACATGAGTGGCAGAGCTGAGAAACAGACCTAGATATGTTGGACTTAAGAGCCCAAACTCTTTGCAGTGACACTATATAGTTGTACAGAAAAAAAGTTAAGAGAGAGAAACACAAGGATGTTAACATTAACTGGTTATTTCTGGGTGATGGGATTATGAGTTACTTTTTTTCCCTTTATGCTTTCCTGAGTAGTCTGAAACATTTGTGATTTACATGGATTATTTCTATAATCAGGAAAAACAGTAAATTATTTTCCATTTTGAAAAAAAGTGAACAGCCATTGTTTCCAAACTGTAGGTGGCAAATTGCTGGGGAGTGGGGGGGAGTAACTTAATTATTACAAGGGTTCTGGAAATTCCCACATGACCCAAGCATTGTCTAAAGTGAATATGTTTGCACATATTTTTTCCAAATGACATGTTGTATACTGTCATGGTGTATACTCCTAGTGCTTGAGTTTATTCCATATTTCTCAATCAATGAATATTAAGAATACCACTATTATCATGTGGAAGTCCATACATTTTAAACACTAAAACAAGGGATGGGATCTGCTGCTACAAGGAAAAATATATGTATGGGTCAGCTCTGTAGCCTGAGTGTCTTCTCAACAACTTACCACCTTTTTCTCAGAAGCGATGGGAGGAAATAGAGGGGAAAAACTGAAAATGCACATATTATTAAAAGTTAATCCAGGGTTGTGGAAGGGGAAGTGGGTGGGAGGATGGGATACCTGAGTGATGGGCATTAAGGATGATACATGATGTGATGAGCATTAGGTGTTATACACAACTAATGAATCATTGAACACCACATCAAAAACTAATGACGTACTATATGTTGGCTAATTCAATTTAAATGAAGAAAAATAAATAAATTACAAAACAACTAAAAAAAAGTTAATCCAAGAGAAGTCCCAGGAGAAGGCAATTTAGAAGGATGAAAGAACGTGGAGAGGGAGTTGATGTTGGCTCCGAAAATTCTATTATGGAAAGACAGAAGGCTAAATCTCTCTTATATTGCCAGAGGCTAGTCCCCACCCTCAACCACAAAGATGTCAACAGCTGTGTAGGCTACGATGCTGCAATACCTGAGTGCTAGGATTTGCTCAAGGACCAGGCTGGTATCCAATCAGCAGGAAGAACTGGAGTGGCGAAGGCCCTCCACATCTTCTGCCATACCAACTCAAAGGTCAGCTGCTGCCTTTCCTTTCTCTCATTCTTCCTCTCCCCTTTTTGTAATGTGTCCCTTATCTTCTATTTCTGCACAGCTTCTTGGCCCCCTCTCAGGTCTCCAGGTTACACCTCTCCATAGGACTCCAGTGATTTCATTACCCATAAGAAACCATCCTGATCACAAGATCTCAAACTAAGATACTCACTCACTGATCATTCATTCAATAATAAGGGCCTTAGGGGCAGAGGCCCTGACAAATTAGGTATAGTCCCTACCTCTTTACAGGCATACAGTCTTCAGGTGTGAAAAGCAAAAAACAAATAAAAATAAAAACAAACCTACAACTCAGTTTGCTTCACTGGGCATGAAGTTACAACAAGGTAAGAGGAGTTAGAGAGAGGAATGAGGGCTTCGCTTTTTAGCCTATATTTAGGACTAACTTAGGGACAAGGCTCCACACCATCACCCCTGCTTAGTGGATCTGGTGCTGAGGCGTGGAAGACTGGCTTACTCTAAGCGAGACTAGTCTTCAACAGGCCGATGACATGGGAAATAAGAGGGTGGGAAGGAAGATTGTTCTTTTTTTTTAAGATTTCATTTATTTATTTATTTGACAGAGAGAGACACACAGAGAGAGGGAACACAAGCAGGGGGAGTGAGAGAGGGAGAAGCAGGCTTCCCACGGAGCAGGGAGCCCGATGTGGGGCTCGATTCCAGGACCCTGGGATCATGACCTGAGCCGAAGGCAGACGCTCAAAGACTGAGCCACCCAGGCGCCCCCAGATTGTTCTGTATTAAAAGCAAATTTAGATCTTGCCAAAGGGCTCAAACCTGAGTCTGATCCAGTCCTCGAATTCAGATGTCAATCTTCAGGAAATACAGAAGAATCTACTGAAGTGCACCATGAGCATGCAGTAAACAAAGTCCAGGCTGTGGAAAATTCTCCGGGTCAAATGTGGATTTTTTTTTAAGATTTTATTTATTTGACAGAACACAGGGAGGGGGAGCAGCAGCGGGAGAGGGAGAAGCAGGGCCCCCACCGAGCATGCAGCCCGATGTGGGGCTCAATCCCAGGATCCTGGGATCATGACCTGAGCCGAAGGCAGTCGCTTAACCGATTGAGCCACCAGGTGCCCCTCAAATGTGGATTCTTCAAGACATAAGTAACGTCAGGAAAAGAAAGGGATGGAAGGGGAAACCTGCAAATGAAAACAGACTTAAACTCTTAAAAAATGCCAAGGTCATAAAAGGAAAGATCAAGAAACTATCACAGATTGGAGGAGACTAAGGAGACATGATTACTAAATGCAATGTGAGACCTGGTGGAATCCTGGAACAGAAAGTGGACATTAGGAGAAAAATTTAGTGCAATTCAAATAAACTCTGGCGTTAACAGTGATGTACCAGTATTGGTTTCTTAGCTGTGATATCTATACTCATGGTTACATAAGATGTTAACATAAAAGGAGGCTGGGTCAGAGGGTATAGGGGACTCTCCACACTATCTTTGCAACTCTCCCATAAATCTAAGACTTTCCAAAATGAGAAGTTCAAAAAAGAGAAAATTTAAGGAACATATCAGTTCTTTTAATGGGCAAGACTAAACCATAATCATTAAGGAAGTATGCTTGGGTAATAAAACCATAGAAATGCAAAGAAAAGATTACTGTAAATGTTAGGATGGGGCACCTGGGTGGCTCAGTCGGTTGGGCATCTGCTTTCGGCTCAGGTCATGATCCTGGAGTCCTGGGATCCTAGGACTCCCTGCTCAGAGTCTGCTTCTCCCCCTGCCCCTCACCCCGCTCTCGTGCTCTCTCTCAAATAAATAGGAAAAATCTTTAAAAATTTTCTATACTACTCAAAGCAATCTACAGATTTAATGCAATCCCTATCAAAATACCAACAGCATTTTTCACAGAGCTAGAACAAACAATCTTAAAATGTGTATGGAACCACAAAGACCCCGGCTAGCCAAAGCAATTTTTAAAAAGAAAAAAAAAAGTTAGGATAATGGTTATTTTGGGAGGAGGAAGAGGGTTGTGATTGAAATGGGGTACATGAGAGGCTTCTGGGGTTCTATTTCTTGATGTAGTGGTGGCGGCAAGGTATAAATAATAATTTATTATTATTTATTATTATTAATAAATAATAATTTATTAAGCCATACATTTGTTTTAGGTGGTTTTCTGTATCTAAGTTTTATTTTACAATGAAAAACTAAAGAGAGAGAGAGAGACTTAAGAGACATAACATTCAAATACAACCAGTAAACCTTGTTTGGATCCTGATTCAAATTAACCAACTGTAAAAAGACATTTGAATGTGGACTGGATATTAGGTATTATTCAAAAATTACAAAATTTGTTAAGGGTTATATTGGCATCACTGTGGAAGAAAACATTCATATTTTTGTATTCATAGTGAAGTATTTAGGAGTGAAATGACATGATATCTTAGAATTGCTTTAAGATGCTCCAAGAAAAAAAAAATTGGGGCGATAGATGAAACAAATATGGCAAAATGTTAGCAGTTATTGAAGATGAACAAAAAACATGAACATAAAGATAAAAATTTGTTGCATTCTCTAGTTTTGTGTGTATTTGGAAATTTTTTGGAATATTTGGAAATTCTGAAATTATTGTAATAGCAAGTTAAAAGAGGGGGATATCCCAAGCCAGACTGCCTCAGGGCAATAGTCTGTCTCAACAAAAACCTAATCCTAGATACTCCCTACCCCACAAATCCCCCAGAGCTCCCTCCTGAGATCACAACCCCCATAGTCTCAGAGTGGCCTGTTAAAGGTATTTCCCTTCTCTTGATCTCTGAGTCACTAGGACTAGGTGGCAGTCCTTCTTACCTTTCTTCATCCTGATGTCTTAATAATCTCAGGAAAGAGTCAAAGGGCAAATGGTCAGGGCCCAGGGCTCAGATCTGATAGGACAGTCCTTGGTACTCCAAAGCCTGCCTCCTGCAGTGGGTCGTAGGTGTGGGGCAGGACAAGGAAGGAAAAGGGCAGGTGAAAATCCTCCTGATCATATGCATTCACTATCGAGCAAGCTTCGAGAGGCTGGTGGCACCATTGGTTGGAAGAGTGTTCTGGGATCTTTGTCTTCCTCAGGCTCCTGAGCATCATGCCTTGTTTCGGGCAGCCTACACACTTCCAGAGTCTGATACTTCTGCAGTGGCCCTTGAGCTACCTTGTCATAGGTGAGTACTGATCCTAGAGTGCACAGCAAGAAGCCAGAGTCAGAGGCCAGGGTCAGATCTGGGGTGAACTTCATGCTCATGGGAAGTCTCATATCTAACCTTTGATCATCTCAGATGGTACTACAGAGTAAAGCCAAGGAGTCTTGAGTCGCATGAACACCCTGGAGAAGGAAGAGATAGAGCCACAGGAGGCGGTGAGAACAGGCAGAGGGGTAGAACAGGGTCATGATGGATATGAGTAGATCTGGCTAATTTCAGCCACTTCTTAACCCTGACCATCTGGAAAGGGGAAATGAGGCCCAGGGAATAGGCATGATATGTCCATGAGCATACTGCACGGGGAGTGGGACAGAAGAAGCATTAGAATTACAGACTTGGAGAAGTATAGCCTGTGTTTAAACCATAGAGTTTTCCATTCTGGGAGGGGGTGGGGTGGTAGCATGTGGGGAGAGAGTGATAATGGAAGGAATGGTGAATGAGCAAGAGGACAAGAATGGTGAATGGCGGGGGTGGGGGGCGTCTGGGTGGCTCAGTCGGTTAAGCATCAGCCTTTGGATCAGGTCATAATCCCATGGTCCTTTGATGAAGCCCCACATCAGGCTCCCTGCTCAGTGGGGAGCCTGCTTCTCCCTCTGCCTGCCACTCCCCCTACTTGTGCGCGTTTTCTCTCTCTGTCAAATAAATAAAATCTTTTTTAAAAAAAGAATGGTGAATGGGAAGAAGTACAGGGATGCAGATGCTTAGTGAGCAGGGTGTGGGGAGATATGGATAGTTTATGGGCAAGGAAGGATGATGAGCTAGCGGTTTAACAAGGGGTTGGGGATGATGGATAGCAAAGGAGACAGGAGACAAGAAGGGAAAGATGGTGGATGAATGGGAGCAGGGGAAAAGCTGGTGGCAGGCAGGGAGCAGGAAGGAGTAGAGGGATGGTGAGTGGCTGAGGAAGCAAGTGGACAGGGATGATGGGGAATTAGAGAAATACGGCTGGTGTATAGTAGATGATAGAGGAAGGCCAAGTAGACATCCTGCTGGATGGGCAGGAGCTAGACTGTGCAGAAGGCCAGGACCAGAAGCTTGGGTAGTTTGGGGGGCTCTTAATGGGGATGTACATGGGCAGGTTCTGCTGGCAGAACAATTTTGGTCTGACCTGCTCCCTCGTCAGCTTTTATCTTGCAGCCATTGTTCATTTGCTTGCTGTTTACATCCTTGTGGCCGCTGCCAGTGCTTTACTTTACCTGGTTTTTCTTGGACTGGAAGACCCCAGATCAAGGTAAGACTCGTGGACCTAGAAAGAACATGGCCTAAGAATGTTCCAGCTTGGGGTCGCCTGGGTGGCTCAGTCGTTAAGCATCTGCCTTCGGCTCAGCTCCTGGGATGGAGCCCCGTGTCGGGGTCTCTGCTCAGCAGGAAGCCTGCTTCTCCCTCTGCCACTCCCCCTGCTTGTGTTCCCTCTCTTGCTGTCTCTCTCTCTGTCAAATAAATAAATAAAGTCTTTAAAAAAACAAAACAAAAACTTATTTAAAAAAAAAAAGAATGTCCTAGGTTAACCTGTAACCAGGGAGTCCCACTCACCATACCACAGGTCTCTCATCCAAGTTCTCAGAGTCACAGGACCTGGGCCAGCCAGGACCCTCTTGGGGTCTCTTCCTTTTCCACCTCTCTAGCGGAGCCATGACCCTCCATGCTGTTAGGAAAGCCCTGAGTGAGGGGGAGGGATGGGGTTGGCACACACAGACACCATCCCCCACTGATATTTCTCTCTCAGGTGGCAGGCGTTCAGGCTGGGTAAGGAACTTGTGTATCTGGACCCACCTCAGGGACTATTTCCCCATTACGGTAAGTGTCTCTTTCCCAGCATCCCCAGCAGTTCCCAAAATACTAGGCATTTATGCCAAATAACTGGGGTTGTCCATAAGGAAAATGAACATACCAGAGAAGTCTCAGGGCAGGCTAGACATACTTCAAGACCCAACGTTGTGGCTGGTACTCGCTACTGTGCTAGCATACTTTGGACACCCTTGGCATGACCTACCAGATGACACAGGCAGAAACACAAATACAATTCAGTTCAGTTTAACAAACGTTGATTGAAAGCCTACTCTGTACCACATGTTAGAGGTACAGAGAAGTGAGTAGGATGCAACCTGTCATCAAGGTGCTCATATCTAATGAGAAGGACAGACAAGTATGTATTTGTAGTTTGGTACATGGTACACAAGTAGTTCAGATGAGGGGTAAGAAAAAGCTTCACAGACGTGGTGATATTTAGGCAGGGTTTTCACGTTCAATAGAAGTTACTTAGGCAGAAACCGGAAGGGGGTTGGGAGGAGAAAATATCAGGAAGACGATCTAGTAATGTAGTGCTATGCTGGTCCTCTGAGCATTCTTTGGACTAGACAATAAACGTTGCCCCAATTTTTAGAGCAGAACTTGCCGACCTTTTCACTTAAACACTCGTACAAAATGATACTATGCATAAAGCGCATTGAGATAAATGGCTGGAACTACTTGCAGCCACCCATGGGGAAGAGGTCCAGCAGTTCTAGCTGCCCCAGATCCTTCCTGGCTTTCCAGGGGCTGAGGTACCTTGGCCTAGCTGTTGAAAAACCCTGAAACCCACTCATGGCCTAGCTGTTGAAAAGCTCTGCTTTAGAGAGCACCCTGATCCCTGAAGTGTCTTCACCTTTGCTTCTTCATGTGATCTTATTTCAACACCTCTGGTGCTTCTTTTCATGGCTGCAGATCCTGAAGACTAAAAACCTGTCACCTGAGCACAACTACATCATGGGGGTTCATCCTCATGGCCTCTTGACCTTTGGACCCTTCTGCAACTTCTGCACTGAAGCCACAGGCTTCTCGAAGATCTACCCAGGCATCACTCCCTACTTGGCCACACTGTCCTGGTTCTTCAGGGTCCCCTTTGTTAGGGAGTACCTCATGGCCAAAGGTACTTCTGACCATACTTACTGGAGCTTCTGGCCCATTTCTCTGCTGGGATACTCACCTTTTTAAGCCCCATCCCCTACCTCTCAACCACCTCTCATCCATTCCTATCAAAGCGTAGTAGTTAAAAGCATATGTTCTGGAGCTAAACTGGGTTTGAATCCTGGCTCTGCCGCCTACTGCGTGGTCTTGAGCAAGCTACCCGTCTCACTTTCTTCATCTGTAAGGAGATGCTGATGATAATAGTCTAACCTCAGATTTGGTGTGACGGCCAAATGAGATCATACAAGTAAAGCATTCAGTATAGTGCCTGCCACAGAGTACATGCTCAGTAAAGAATAACTTTTGCTATTTGGTGACAATAGAGGAAAAGAAAAGAGTAAGATTATAGTTGAGATTCAGAAAGTTCTTCTGGTTATCCCACTGGAAACCTTCCTACTATAGTTTTAACCTAATGTCTCCTATGAATGGAGATATTGCCTCAAAGTGAAACATGCTGGGTTTGTCCTCAGCCTTCTTTTCTCCACACCCTTGGTCCCATCTCATTGATTCTCCTTCTGGGACTCATGGGAACAGAGGGCACATAGACAAGCCAATGAGGAGTAAGCAGAGAGTATTCCCTCTCAGCCATTTTCCCTTCCCCTTATTTTGCTCCTCTCTCTGCTCTTTGATTCTCCTTAGGTGTGTGCTCCGTGAGTCAGCCAGCTATCGACTACCTGCTAAGCCATGGCACTGGCAACCTTGTGGGCATCGTAGTAGGAGGGGTGGGAGAGGCCCTGCAAAGTGTGCCCAACACCACCACCCTCATCCTCCAGAAGCGCAAGGGGTTTGTGCGCACAGCCCTCCAGCATGGGTAGGTCTTCCTCCCAGGGCAGGGGTGGATGGTCTTCTCTGAGCAGCATCACCTGCTAGGTGATGCCAAGATGAATCAGACGTGAGTCTTGCCCTCATGGAACTTACTAGTGCATAAGGGAGATGGCCATAGCATTTTTAAAAGGTTTATGTCATCCACTCCTTCTAAACTAGCTGGACCAATTCTCAGGAAGCCAAACCAGAAACCCAGATTCATTATCAGGGGGCTTGGCTAGGACTCCCTTAATATACAGATGATGCCCACATCATCTCTAGCAATATCAATATCTATATCTGTTTGTTAATGGTAAGTGCAAGGGGCAGGTAGTACAGTATGGTGAGTATGTGCACAGAATCTGAAGTCAGGGGGCCTGATTTGAACCCTGGCTTCATAACTTACTATTACTCTCTGAGACAGATTACTTAACCGTTCTGAGTCTTGGTGTTTTCATTTTCATAATGTGGCTACTAATAATTGTACCTACTCCATAGGGTCATTGTGGGGTTTATTTTTTTTTATTATGTTAGTTAACCACCATACATTACACCATTAGTTTTTGATGTAGTGTTCCATGATTCATTGTTTGCATATAACACACAGTGCTCCATGCAATACGTGCCCTCTTTAATACCCATCACCAGACTAACCCATCCCCCCCCGCCCCCCCTCCACTCTAAAACCTTCGGTTTGTTTCTCAGAGTCCATACTCTCTCACGGTTCATCTCCCCCTCTGATATCCCCCTCTTCATATTTCCCTTCCTTCTCCTAATGTCCTCCATGCTATTCCTTATGTTCCACAAATAAGTGAAACTGTATGATAATTGACTTTCTCTGTTTGACTTATTTCACTTAGCATCATCTCCTCCAGTCCCATCCATGTTGATGTAAAAGTTGGGTATTCATCCTTTCTGATGGCTGAGTAATATTCCATTGTATATATGGACCACATCTTCTTTATCCATTCATCTGTTGAAGGGCATCTCGGCTCTTTCCACAGTTTGGCTATTGTGGACGTTGCTGCTATGAACGTTGGGGAGCATATGGTCCTTCTTTTCACTACATCTGTGTCTTTGGGGTAAATACCCAGGACTGCAATTGCTGGGTCATAGGGTAGCTCTATTTTTAATTTTTTGAGGAACCTCCACACTGTTTTCCAAAGTGGCTGTACCAACTTGCATTCCCACCAACAGTGTAAGAGGGTTCCCTTTCTCTACAACCTCTCCAACATTTGTTGTTTCTTGCCTTCTCAATTTTTGCCATTCTAACTGGTGTAAGGTGGTATCTCAGTGTGGTTTTGATTAGAATTTCCCTGATGGCTAATGATGATGAACATTTTTTCATGTGTCTGTTAGCCATTCGTATGTCTTCTTCGGAGAAGTGTCTGTTCATGTCTTCTGCCCATTTTTTGCCTTGATTATTAAATGAAGTCATCCACATAAAACACCAAATGTGTCTGGCACACAGTAAGTGGTAGATAATTAATAGCCACTCTAACTGAGGGATAAAGATGGGAGGTAAAGGGCAGGTGCCCAAGGCTGGAACTGTGGGATGCACCATAAGGTCAGGAGGCCAGCCCACTGAACACAGAGATAATTGTCCTATTTCTGACTCAGAGAAAAGTAGTTCACCTAGGGACCTTGCCTGAGTGGCCTGTTCATCAGTTTGGAGCATAATGTAGGGGAGAGAGTTCTGAGCTGGGAGGAAGGAATCCTGGGTTCTAGCCCAGGTCATGCCACTCACTGACTGCCTGAGTGAACTTTCCCCTTCAGAACCTGGGCTTCTGGATCTGTAAGATAGAGAAAATACCACCGCCTTCCACTGTGCCCCACATTGTCTCTGCTGTGAGGATCCAGTAAGGTAACATATATCAAAGTGCAGAGAGATTACTAGTAACTCGCAAAGGTTTGTATAAGAAAGGCCATGTTCTCTTTACTCTTCTCTCACAGGAAGACTTCAGGAGCCTGATTCTCTACCTATGGCCCGAGAGGGACACAAATTTTCTCTTCTCTAATCTCAAGGGACAGAATACCTTATGCATAGTCCCTGTGGGTGATGGGCATATCATAATATATGCATCTGTGCAATATTAACATCATCTCTATGCTTCCTACTAGTAGAAACAGAGTCAGATATTTCCCTGCATGACACTTCCTGGAAGCTTTTCTTTACCATGATATAAGTTTCTGGGGATCTCTGCCCAAAACCCTCTTCCTTCCCTATACCCCCATATCTTGCCCTTGTGATCCTGGCCCAGAGATAACATTCTCACTAGATTTGAACATTTCAAGAAAAGAGACAGTAAATATGGGAGCCCTGTTTAGTGCAAGAAGAAATGCTTTATGTTACAGGGATTTTATATAGCTGGGAGCCTGGCCAGGAACAAATGTTCTTCCTGAGTGGTTCTCATCCTAGCCTGTGTTTGAGAAATAAATCAGGATTTTCCTTCAGGGCTCATCTGGTCCCCACCTTCACTTTTGGAGAAACTGAGGTATATGATCAGGTGCAATTCCATAAGGACAGCTGGATGTACAAGTTCCAGAGCTCCTTCCGCAGAATCTTTGGTTTCTATTTTTGTGTCTTCTATGGAAGAGGCTTCTGCCAAGGCTCCTCTGGGCTCCTGCCATACTCGCTGCCTATCGTCACTGTGGGTGAGTGCTGCTTTCAGCCCCAAGTCCACCTCAGCTCTTTCCTGACCTCAACCTCAAAGAGGGAGAATCTGGGAGTTGACTTGGCAAGTGAGAGAATCTGGCCCAGGGAAGAAGGAGGTTAAAGGAAGAGAAGATTCTAACATTTGCCCCTTCTTTTTTCCCATTTCCAGTTGGGGAGCCTCTGCCACTGCCCAAAATTGAAAAACCAAGCCAGGAAATGGTGGACAAATACCATGCACTCTATATGGATGCCCTGTGCAAACTGTTTGACCAGCATAAGACCCAGTATGGCTGCTCAGAGGCCCAAAAGCTGATTTTCCTGTGACTGAATGGGCTTGCGTGCCCAAAAGCATGTACCTTGAAGAGGAGACTCATTTGCTGCTAACCAAGAGGTGGAGAAAAGGAGATAAGGGAAGGCTATGTGTGGTAGGGGAGGACATTAGGAATTCCTTCCTTGCCACAAAGCCCTCATAGTTACTGTCCTAAGGAGCTTCACTCAGTCATTCCACAAAAAGGGGGCACCCTGAGGTCCCTCAGGGCCAGCCATGGGCACTCTAGGCACAGACATGTTTCCTTCCTTGCTCCCTACTGGTTTTCCTCCCTAAGTCCAACACCCCAGGTCCTGAAGGACTCAAGTAATAGCCAAACAGCCCAAGTAGCCACCACTCTGGTGGTTGCTGTTGCTATTTTGTCATGATGCATTTTTTAATTGAGATTTTTTTTTGCATACCATAAGTTTAACCTGTTTAAAGTGTAAAATTCAGTAGTACTTAGTATATTCACAGAGTTGTGCAACCACTACCACTAATTTTAGAACATTGTTCAGTACCTCAAATAAGAAAACCAGTACACATTAGCAGTCACTCCCCATTCCATCATCTTTCCCAGCCTAACAAACACTAATTTACTTTCCATTTCTATGGATTTGCCATTTCCGGACATTTCATATAAATGGAATAATAGACTATGTGGTTTTTTCAGGACTGGCTTCTTTCTCTTAGCATGTTTTCAAGGCTCATCCGTGTTGTAGCATGTACCAGTACTTCATTCTTTTTATGGCTGAATAATATTGCATTACACATATACACAACAGTTTTCATCCATTCACCAGTTGATGGACTTTTGGGTTCTTTCCACTTTTGGGCTGCTATGGATAACACTGCTACAAACATTCATGTATGGGTTTTTGTGTGGTAATCTGCTGCCTCCAAATATAAAGGCTTCCCTTATCTCCACAACACTAACCTAACAATCATGCCTTTCACATAAATCAAACGCAATTTTAAGATTACTTTTCAGTTGGCAGAGGCATTTCACATAGGTCATTTTGTCATGATGGTCCTCTCACACCATAACCCCAAGGTATTTGCTGCCATCCTGAGTCTACTACGGGAAATCTGCTTTATATCTATATTTTAAAGTCTTACTAAGTTCTGCTTAAAAGTTTTCTTAGAGCTGTATTCTGAGAATTTTAAAAGAGTAAATAAAAACACAGATATCTCTTCCTTCACAAGGCAACCAACAAAAGACACACTTAGAAACACAGCAAAGGTATACAACTGAAACTAACATAATATTATGTGTCGACTATACTTAAAAAAAAAAAACACTTAGCAAAAGAACAAAAGTTAAAAGACCATTTAAAAACTCATTCAACTCAATAGCAAAAATCTGATTTTAAAGTGGGCAGAGGACTTAAATAGACATTTTTCCAAAGAAACATCCAAATGGCCAACAGGTACATAAAAAGATGCTCAACTTCACTAATCATCAGGGAAACGAAAAATTAAAACCACAGTGAGATATTGCCTCATGCCTGTTAGAATGACTACTACCAAAAAGACAAAAGATAAGTGTTGGCAAGGATGTGGAGAAAAGCAAATCCTCATGCACTAATGGTGGTAATGTAAATTGGTGCAGCCACTATGGAAAACAGATGGAGGTTCCTCAAAAAATTGAAAATAGAACTACCATATGATCCAGCAATCCCACATGTGGGTATCCGTAGGAAATGAAATCATTATTTCGAAGAGATATCTGCACCCCCATATTCTTTGCAACATTATTCACAATAGCCAAAACATGGAAACAACCTAAGTGTACATTGATGGATGAATGGATAAATAAGATGTGGAATATAATGGAATAATATTCATCATTAAAAAGAAGGAAATCCTGCGATCTGCAACAACATGGATGGACCTTGAGGGCATTATGCTAAGTGAAATAAGTCAGACAGAGAAAGACAAAAACTGTATGATCTCACTTACATGTGAAATCTAAAAGAAAAAAAAATGCCAAACTCATAAAAACAATGTATAGAATGGTGATTGTCAGGGGCTAGGAAATAGGGGAAATGGGGAGATGTTGGCCAATGCCAATGGATTAAATTTCCAATTATAATATGAATAATTTCTGGGATCTAATGTACAATTTGATGACTATAATTAACAATAATGCTTGAAATACTTGAAAATTGCTAAGAAAGTAGATCTTAAATGTTCTCACCACAAGAAATTGTAATTATGTGAGGTAATGGATGTCTTAACTAACCTTACTGTAATCATTTTGCAATATGTATGTATATCAAATCATCATGTTGCACCTTAAACTTACACAATGTTATACATCAGTTATATCTCAATAAACTGAAAAAGGGGGGAAACTTTAGATTTGGCCTTTCTTACTTTTCTTATTTCATACCTCTTAAATATTCAGTTTTGATGGGGCCCACTCTAGTCTCACTTTATACTGTTTCAGTCTCAAATATCCATTTCTAACCCAGATTTCTCTCATAAGTGATTTCCCTCAAAACTGATATATCCAACTTACCAATCTCTAACAAACATTTTAACATCAACATACCAGTAGCAGATGAAACATCTTCCCCCTCCCAATCTGACATTTTATCACCAAATCCTGTTAATTCTACCACCTCAATATTAATCCAGTGTGTCCTGTTCCCTTCTCCACTGTCACAACCTTGTCAAAGCCCTCACCAACATCCCTAGACAATTGCCACTTCTGCTAGAGTCCTCTCTAATCAATCCATTCATCACACTGGTGCCAGAGTGCTCTTACTAATGCTTAAATCTGAATTGTTAGTCCTCTACTTTGAAATCCTTTTATGCTCCTACAATGCTTCTACCAGCATACCCTGAATTATGTTCTGGGTACCATTAATGTTCCATAGATGTTAATAAATATTGCACAGAAAAAATGATTATGTGGTTAAATAACTGTGGGAGATGCTGGATTAAACAAAGTTAGACAGATGTATTTACTGAAATATTTTCAGAATCTTCACTACACTAATGGGCATTGTGACTATCCAAGAAGGAGTATTTAGTATTTCCCAAACTTACCTGACAATGGAACCCTTGTTTCAAATAACACTTATTACCATCACATGGAACATTTAGTATTTCTCTAAATACAGTTTTGCAAATGCTGGTCTACAAGATAAAGTTCAAACCCCTGGGCATGGCAGAGAAGGCTGCTGGTAATATAGAGAAAGTGGCTGATCTGACTTGGGAACCTATCAGATTGGGAGAAGTCATGGTAGGAGGCACTGGGGTTGATTGGATGGGTCAAAACCTCGTAAGAGGTAACAAAAAGGTAACTGAATAAAGGGGGGACTTGGATTTGAATTGTTCTCACCTGTTTGGGTTGTCGAGGAAGAGCAAACTACAGCAGATTTTGTCAGAAAAGAATCTCAAGGACACACATGGGAATGAGGCTATACCTAAAAAAGTAAAAAAAAAAAAAAAAAAAGCCTTTGCTTTCTTATTAGCATCAGCCACATGCTCCTTCTAGAAAATTCATTTCCCTCATATCTTTTCTCTTCACCCTCAGCCTCTACACCACAATGCAATCTCTTGTTCTCCCTATCTCTCCTCCTCCCTCCCTGAATATTTTTGAGATACTCTAGTACTCTAAGGTTTTGCTCCTCACTCTGGATGTCACAATAACTTTGTATGAGCTGATCATCAAAGGAACTAATTAGTAAGACTTAATCATGGAATGTGAGGGCAAGCAAGGGACATTTTCTAAGAGTGGCCAGGCTGGTGACCCTAGTGGGCCAAATGTACAGGGACCTTCAGAGGTAATCATGGAGGCAGAAAGTGAGCAGAGTACTTGAGTGATATCCAGAGCACTGCCCCATAGAGGGAAGATCCGTACTTACTGTCAGAGAGTTCAGTGCTTCCCCATACATACAATAGGTCCATCATGAAGTTCAACAAAGACCCTTCATACTCTGACCCCTATGAATTTCCAATCACTCCCTATCATGGTCTAAAGTAGTACACTCAACTACTTCATGTTTTCTGAATAATTTCACATTTCTTTGCTTTTGCACATGTTCTCTCTACATGGTAAAGAGTGTTCGTCTTTTAAGTCCACATCAAATATCACCTTCTTAGTGAAGCCTTCACCAGGAAGATTTAATAACCCCTTGCTCCATTCTTCCATACCGTTTTGTTGGCTCTACTAATGAGAACTCGATTTTGTCAGTCTTTATTTATGGTTAACCCCATTAAGGGTGTAAAGGAGGAAATTTTAAGTTATCCTTTCTCTGCATTTATGGATGAAAATCATATGGTCTCACAGTATGTGCTTTGGAATTCCTCATACATCAAAGGTCATATAGTGTGATTGGAGACTTCAACACTCGGCTGTTAGAATATGACAAATCAAGTAAACAAAAAGCTAATTTTTAAAAAGTATGGAGCTGACTAATACAATAAATAATGTAGACTAGACTGTCAAGTGATAAGAACTTAATGATTAGGACAAGGAATTACACTTTCTTTTCAAGTGCACATGAATCATTCACAACTACTATTCAGTATTTGAATTCAAAATGCTCTTAATATAAAAGGTAGAAATTCCACATACTATAGTCACAAGACACAGTGCAGTAAAATTAGAAATAAATAATGAATATAGAAGAAGAGAGCACAGGCAGGAATTTCTCTGACATTGGCCACAGCAACATTTCTCTAGATATGTCTCCTGAGGCAAGGGAAATAAAAGCAAAAATAAACTATTGCTACAACATCAAAATAAAAAGCTTCTGCACAGTGAAGGAAACAATCAACAAAACTAAAAAGCAACCTACGGAATGGGAGAAGATAGTTGCAAATAACATACCTGATAAAGGGTTAGTATCCAAAATATATAAAGAACTTATACAGCCCAACACCCAAAAAACAAATAATCCAATTACAAAATGGGCAGAAGACATGAGCAGACATTTCTCCAAAGAAGACATACAGATGGACAACAGACACATGAAGAGATATTCAACATCACTCATCATCAGGGAAATGCAAACTAAAACTACAATGAGATATCACACT